GAGCTTGAAGGCCTTCAAGAATTTCTGAGATACCTCGACAGTGCTCTCCAAAGTCCGAACTCTACTTACCAAGGCACTCACATGAATGACTAGCTAAGAAAAGCAAAAAAAAGTTAAGTTAGAAAAAACTATTACCCAAAGTAAAATAGTTTAGAAAACTTAGAGCTTACCAAAGCTGCTCCATACAAAGTAGTGGTGGACGAGATAGACAAAGGCATCATCAAGACTTCCTGAATGTCAGACTTAGGGATAACAAACACAATGGCCTTGGCATCAAGGTTCACGTTCCTGATAAGCGAACCCTTGCCTTTGGTCACCTTTCCTGACGAGCCCTCCATGGGAAAATGAGAACTTTCTCGATAGATTGGGAATGAGAAGATTCTTATAGGAGAGGAGCTATGGCCTCGAGGTCTCTAGCAACCTCTATTGACGAAGGAGAAGATAAGACTCCAACTGGTCTAGAAGCCCCCATGGAAGGAAGAAGAGATACAACTGGAGTCATTTGGGGAACAGGGATCCCTTGGAAAGTTGAGACCATTGCAGACTTCACTAACGAAAAGGTTTTCTAAAGAGGTGGTGTAGGTGAGGAGATCATCTGAAAAGGTGGAGTAGAGGATGATCTCACTCTTGGTGATTTTCGAATAGGACCTGGGTTATTCCCAAACTCAACCTTGACCTTGCGCTTTCCACCAGTTCTCCCTTTCCTAAGATGGGTCACCTTGGCCCTTACAGTTTCAGCATTTGGATCCATCGAACTAGAACCTGAGAAATCAAGGTAAGCAGATCATTAAAAACGAGAACAAGAAAATAAAGAACTAGAGATGAAGAAATGAGAGCCTTACCAGTAGGATCTTCAACACCAGCCACAGATATAGAATTGAACTTTCAATTCTCACCTCGGAAGAATTGAACCCGAATTGAGTGAGCACCGTAGGCTTAAGAAGCTTAGAGTACTTCTCTGATTGACAACTCTCCAAGCCCAACAAGACTATCCTATCCTTAGCACTGAGATCGGGTTGGTTACCTGAAAATGATAAAGAGAAAACAGGGTCAGCAAAAGAAAACACCAATTTGTGAGGCTAGACCAAGCCTTCTCAAACAGGACTTACCCAAATTATCAGGGATTGACCAAGCCCAAGGTACAAGAGTGTATCAGTCGCATCCTTAGGGTTAAACTCCCACTTTTTCCCAGACACGAAGAAGAAGAACTTCTTCCATCCCTTGTGGGAGCTCGGAAGATAGAAAATCAAAACTCAAGTCTTCTCACCCATTTGGCTATATATAGAAAGGCATCATAAGGGGTGATCTTGATGTTAAAGAATTTCATAAGCAAGGGTATCGCGGGGACACCAAGCTTGTTCTTCTTGAAGAAAACCAGAAGACCTATCAAAACACCCCAGAAATTGGGAGAAAGTTGAGCAAGACAGACGTTGAAATGTTGAAGGACATTCTCAAGGAAAGGGTGCATAGAAAATCGAAGGCCATTCTCGAAAGAAGCAACAAAGAAACAAATCTTCTCTAGGACTATGGTATCGTATTGAATATCTACGTTTGGAGACTAGTACTACATACCTCTTGGGAAACCAAACTGAGCAAAAAGGACGCTAAAAAAAGGAGGGGTGATCTCACTAAAACCTACAAGGTTTGAAGCCCGGAGAATGACCTCTGTGTCCCCAATATAGCCAGTAGTCCCAACTCCACTCATTTTGGACTTCCCTTTTTGAGACTTCTTAGATCTCGGAGCAGGGCTAGACAACGATGGAGGAACCTTTGCCTCCGCCTCGACATCAATAGAATCGACACTAGAAAAATTATCTATCTCGTCACCCATCTCCCCCAGATCATCCTCCTCTAATTAAGGAGACCTGTTGCCCATGACAAGGGAGACAAACGAAGTAGTGGCCTCAGAGGAGGTGAACATGGTAGGATAGAAGAAAGAGAGGTTAAAAGAAGTGTAGAGGGGAGGAACGTTGGTAAAACAGTCTTTTAGGGCCTAAGGGTCAAGACACCAGCGGCCAAAGAAAATTCCTCGCAATGGAATAAGGGTCCAAAAAAAGAGGAAAGAAGGACAAGGAACAACCTTGATTCCTAAAATAACATAAATGAAAAGTCTAGAAGTGAAATAGCCCCTCGAATTTGAGAGATCCAGAATGAATGAAAGCTTAAAAAGAAGGAGAAGAGCAGGGTGAAGGACGTATCTAGTTGAAGTTGAGCAATAATCAAAGGCCCAAGATAGATCCAAGGAATGGATTAGGCTAGCCTTGCAGAATTTTGGAACAAATTTGGAAAATTGCCAATAAAAAACTGGATCACCAGTAGATTAGGGAAGACAAAATAGCGAAGGAATAGGGAAAGGAGAAAAATTTGGAGAGAGAAGGAAAAGAGAGTTCGAAATAAAGAAGAAGGTGGTTTCGTCTACTGATATATTTAAGGCTAGTGTACGGACAGACGCGTGGAGCCATAGGAAGAGGGACGTGTGCAAGAAACGAGGCAAAAATGAGTGCACATTTGCTATAACAGTCGAGGAACGTCCCATCGTGCGCATCTCGAGGTCAATCCCAGACAACCTCACTCACTGAGGTCAGAACTAAGCCCCAACTCATATAACTTTACCATACCAGGGACTGGGGGGGGGGGGACAACTGATGATACCTCAAATATACTTAAGGATGAGCTTGGTAATTTAGGTCATGTTTTCCTAGATTGGGAGCCCAGCTCACTTTGGATGCCCATGGAGCTTGAGGTCAAACCTCCCATCCTTATAGCTGCGTCTCGAGGAGGATATCATAGAATACAACTGGCTTTCACCCAAGCACCACACGGATAGTAACGGTTGTATATTCAGGCAGAAGGATTGCAACTGCCCCAACACCCTCCACAACCGTTGCAGGATAGTAGCAACCATTACAAGGAGAAACAAGGATCTCGCCAAAAATAAGCAAAGCTTAGGATCAACTATAAATAGGGGGCATAACCCCTAGCAATGGAGATAACGAATTGTAATCAAAATTACTCTTTGCAATTTCATTTTTTCATTAATATAAGTTTCAGGAGCAAGAGACTCCCTTAAGAGTGGAGTAGTCAAACTCCTGAGCTGGTGAACTACTACAAATACTGTGTGTTAAACCCCTTCCCGGGTCCAAATCCTAAGAATTTAGGAACTCAAACTGAGTAACTCAGTACCCATAGATTTCTTACCTCTGCCCACTATAGTGTTGCATACATCATCAAGTACCATATGGAAGATCATAGTCCAATGACCTACTCCTAGGTTGTGCACGGGATACAATAGTCGAGAGATACTGCCCACTGGATATGACTGCAACAAACCACACCACTTTGCATTGTTAATTCTTATTAAAAAGTTTGTAACTTGAGAATGCTCTCTCATATATATATAAAAAAAAAATGTTTTTTGTTGCTGTACAAAACCTGTTTTTAGGTAAGACTTATCTCCAAAGAACAGTAGGACCACGTTTCAACCAAATCGTGTTTGATAGACTGATTGCATTGTTGTAATATGTATATTCCAGGCTTTTTAAATGTATAATATAACATAAGCAAAAAGACTTTTTTTATCTGATTTGATTCTTATGTTCGAATTTTGTCAACTCCTTTTAAGTTACCTACACAAACTTTGCCATACCCGAAAAAAAGGAGATCCACATACCCTTGTCACCAAAAAAAGGAAAAAAATTCCACTAAAGGAGAATGTACAACTAGGTCCGACAACGAATTATGTTGTGTTAGGTGTTGAAAGTGTAAAAGTTGTCAGATTAGAACGAACTTAACCTATTTACAATCCATTTATTAAACAAATTTGATAGATCAATCAGATTATGATCAGACTACGGTGGGGTTAAATCCGTATTGAATAACTTAATGTCAATTTCTTATCAAATTTATGAATTAATTTAATAATTATCATATCGTGACAGATTTCTGTCATGGTGACTCAATCTACACACGACCCATTTAACAAGTTTAGCAAGTAAATTTGATTAATATCCAAAAACATAAAGCTAAACTCGTGCTCGATAGCTTCATGTCAATTTATTATTGGGCGCTCTTGTAAAACCAACAACAGATTAAGAGAACATCAAGTTTTTTAACCAATCCAATGACATTTGGAATTGTAACATTTTGACAAAAAAAACATGGTAATTTATCTAATCCAATGCTTACAAACAAGACTTCGTTTAATTTTTACAACTAATCCCACTTTTCATCTTTATAGCATGACATGTATTCACCCCTGTACATGTTTAGTTTAGGTACAAATAAAGGTTATGATTCGATAATTAATTCCCATCCAATCCATAAAATAGTGTTAACAAAAGTACTATTTAATCTTATCCTAAGTTTAGATCAATGTTGAAATAATATATAAATCTATAATTATAATACCAAAGTTATGTTTAAATTAAGTAATAGTTTATGGTATTAAATTAAAAATGGCAACAAATATTGAAGGTAAAATTTTGTATGTGTAAGTGACTCAAGTTTGCAAAGTCATTGTATTTTTAATACTTATTAAAAATAATATCACCTACTACATAATATTCATTACTACCTAATATTATGTGTTGAATGACAAAAGTAAACTGAGTTGAAATCTCATACAAACTTAATATTATATTATTACCGAAATAAATTAATCCAATCCACACTTTTAATACCTAAACCAAATATACCCGCAGGGGGAGGAAAAAAAAGAGGGAGAAAAGGAGGGGGAGGGGGGGTTACTGCCCTTAGCTTCTACTATGCAGCATTTTTAAAAAACAAAAGATGTATGTGGGGGTGGGTGGGTGAGAGATAGGGGGTGGGGAGATTCAACCAATAAACTAAGCAGCAAAACATTATTAAACAGTAACACCTCTTCAAACAACAAAAGATAAAAAATTCTAAAAGTAAATAGTCTAAGATACAGGGACATGTATTAAAACTACAAAATGAAGGGTACACAAAAATAAGATCCACATGAATACTTGGCACCCCTTTCATTTCAGTCGAAGCTGCTCACATAGGATGCGATACAATAACCTTTTTCGTCCCCATTTCCACCAAATTGGAACCACAGTCCGTCGTCTCTTTTTTGTCTGTTTTTCTGCATGTTAAGATCAGGAAAAAATTGCTAACAAACAGAATTTACTTTATTGTAAAAGGAATTAAGAAAAAAAGAATCTCAAACTCAGCAAAATTTGTTTCTTACAAAAATCAAACAAGACAATTCGCTAATTATACATCTTCTCAAACTTTCTGAAAAGAAAAACATCAGCTTCTTTTACGACCATTAAGTGTGGTCCCATTTCAGCATATTTTGCTAATAATAGCCGGAAAAGAACTGTTATCACCTAAAACAGGAGTACGTGAGGCATAACATGAAAAGAACAATCTGCCATAGGCTTAAAGGACAAAGAAGGAAGTTCATGATCCGAGTGATAAGCCATAGGCTTTCCAAAAACTGCACACTTAACAGCTAACGGAAAATTGTAACCAAAATACGTGGAGTCACTGGCACCCTCCCCATACACCTACATGATCAATAAAGAATTAAGAAATAAATGCTTATTTAGCCGAAAAGGAAAAAATGGTAATGAGGGAACCAAGAAGAGTTTAACTGACTTGGCATAGCAGGTCCCAAGCAGATGTAATCTAATCAGGGGCCCAACAAAATCAACTTTTTTTTATGATTCACTAGAAGGGAGCCTAACTTCTTTAGGAGATCACTCCAATGAACAAACCACCTAAAAACACTATCCTCAGTCTACAAGGGCTCTACATTTAGGAAACAAAGTGTATAAAGATTAAATGGTGTTCAACTATGAGCCGGACACTAGACGCCAATAAATTCATTGAACATCCCCTATTAGATGACTAGAAGCTAAATGCTTTGAGTTAAGCTTTTTGCTCACGAGATTTCATAATAGTATTCAAACCCCGTGAGCAATACCAAACTAGTGCCTTATGATCACCACAGTTTTTTTTTCTAGTCTGTTTTGTAGGAAATTGTGGGAACTGATTTTCTTGTGGACCAATCTTTGCATGAACAAATAGCATATTAACATGAATCAGGTTGCTTGCGACATTATGAAAAGATCATAGAGAGGGCTTTGGTGATAGATAATTTTCAGTGGCTGGGATCAGAATTGCAAAGGGAGTTCATGACTGAGGGGAAAAAGTAAATGGAAGGTTTACTCAATCTGCTGCATAGAGAGGGAGATCATGCTAATGAGAAACATAATCCGTGGAGGGTGGCAGAGTAAAGAAAGTATTGAGATGAGGTCATTCTAATATAAGTCATTATGATGGAGGAACGTCAGAATTATGCCCAACGGGTCTCCCGACTAAATGGTATTTGTCTGCATGGAAGATGGGAATGAGTAAGCTTTTGATGATTACCACTTTATTAGGAAAGAAAGGTTCTACCCAACTGGTGTGAATGGCTAATCGAACCAAAAAAGGAGGTTTACTTCTTAAAAACAAATGTCAATTTCAGCAAATTAGGGTCTGGTTTCACAAAGAAATAAAAAAAAGAGAGAGAGAGAGAGAGAGAGAGAGAGAGATTGAAGATGAAAAAGAAAAAGAAAAAAAACAGAGATGCTGATGATGATAATGATAATGAAGAAGAAAAGGCAGCAGAAGCAGAAGAAACAGCAGCAGCAGCAAGAAGGAAGACAAGAGACTCATCGATCATCTTCTTGAGAGAGAGGAATCATCGATTGATAAATTGGGTCTGTCATTTTATGTAAAGTGGTTTTGCTGTATCACATGCACCAAATATATCATGTACCAGCACAAAATCAATGGCACGCATACATCTTGACAGTACAAAAGACACGCCATGTCTTGGACTTAGGCCACTTAAGCCCACTGGGCGCCTTGGCTGGTTTGAAGCAAGGCACCACAGCAGGGCCTCTCTACGCTTTGCACTGAGGCGCACCCTTTGACAACACTGGGAAAGGCAATGCATTCTGCATGCAAGGCAGACCCTCTCTGCCTTATAGGGTTTATGTGGAAGCAGAGAAACTGAAGATCATTTGAGAGAGTAAATGGGTCGACACCAAAATTGAAACAGATTTTAACCATGCCATGTGAATCTAGCCATGATCCACATGGCACATGTGGCTTCCATTGATAGTATGTCAATCATGTTATGTCTTACTTGTGGAGCGAGTGAACCTCTCTCATCTACTGATGTACCTTACTTAGCTGCAATCCCTCCTTAGGCTCTCTTCTAATGGATTATACTTAACACCCCAACCATCACCCAAAACCTAAAAAAAAAAAAAACAGATTCACCTTAAACTTAAAAGAACTAGAGAAACCAAAAGAAAAATCCTCTGCAGTTGGACCACCTGAGCTAGAAGAGTATCCCGATAAGAGGTTTAGGATAAAAGAACTGCACTCACTCCTGTTCAGGAATGTATAGGGTCCCCATTTTGATAGCAATTTCGAAAAGCTGGACTCCAATGTAGGCCAATAGTTCATCTGAATCTTCAAGACTTCCAGAACAGTTTGCAATCCAGCTCTGGATGGTATGATTTTGTCCACATCGCATTCAAGTCTTTCACCCAATAAGACCTTCAAAACAGAGTCAAGTGAGAAAGAGACAAAATAGGGAGAGGGAGGGATGGTGTGGGACATGTACATATATCTGTCACAATGTAAACCGACCTGGCACATCTTATGAAGACATCCCCAAAGTCACCATACATAAAACTAAAGAAGATTATCTATTTGTACATTTAAACCTCACTGGTCCAAGTATCCAGCTCAGCAAGTAAAATGTACATATCTTCTTGATAACTAAAATTCACCAAAAATGGGGGCACAATCAATAATGTCCACATGGTGTACACAAAAGGAGACAAAAACAATAGGTCAAACATGCATAAACAAATAAAATGGGTAAAAATAGCATTACTAGCACAGCAAAAATATCTCCCCCCCCCAAAAAAAAAAAGCACCAGTTAGATATGGTTTTAGAAGGTGCTAATGTTGATAGCAGCAGTAACAATGTACCTAGAAGGCTGCAGTTTCCACACTCCACCGGGCTCCATCCACAGCCTCACAGTAAGCTGACTAGGGTGTTGATGAACCTTTTGGGCAACAAAAAGCTCTAGGTACAGATGATGTGTGGTAGGCTTTTTTCGTAAATGTAATTCTGTTACTCCTTTCTTCGTCAACAACAGTTTCAGTAGACTCTGATTTCAACACCCAAGAAAACTTCTTCCTAAAATATATTTATGCTAGTGAAGTACCTGTAAAGTGACCTTGTATGCCGCATCAAATGATTAGGACCAACCAAAGTTAGGTTATATACTTGAGGGACTACTCTGCTCATTGCAAATTAGTTTTGAGTTGGTTGCTCTAACATGGTATCCAAACTTGGTATTGGGTGGTTAGTGGGCCAAGTCTCTTCCCCAATTGAATTTCTCAGTATGCATGGCTGTTTGTTTGTTTGTTAGCCCCACATAAGAACCCGGTCCCACTTGAGGGAGGGTGTATTGCAAGTTATTTTTGAGTCGGATGCTCTAACAGTGCCCATGTGATTGGTATAAGCCAAAAACACGAGTTGTCTGACAGTGAGACCAAGTCCTATTTGAGATTAAGATATATCTCATTTTAGCAGCACCTTTTTACTGCTTTCCTTGTGCCCCTTCCATTTAATTATAGATTTTTCTTAATTCATTTAAATTGGGACCAGCCAAGCAACTCCGTAGATCATCTGTTAATCCTTATTTTTGATGACTAAACATGGAAATCCTTGATCAGTATGAATCTCAAGAGTGGATGGCTGATCACTGCCTCCTTTCATGAAGGCTCTCTGGTTGGCAAGAGACTTTGCTATCATAACCTTTTTACTGGGGAATCTGAAAGAGTTACAAACTCACTTTTGTAGACTTATACAGGAGAGAGGAAGAACTAGAAGATCACAAATCTTTTAGCTTTTTATATCAATTCCTATATTAGATATAAATTAGAGGAAACCCCAAGATGACCTGATACACAACACTGAGCTGGGAAGGACTGATTGCTCAACAATTTTATGGAGCCAAGGTTCTAGTATTCCTCTACATGAACCTTAACAGGAAGGAGGAAAGGGGGGAGGGGGAAAAGGGGAAAAGGGGAAAAGGAACGTCCAAAATGAGGTTTATATTAGCTCCAACTAAATAACAAACTAAAGAGTCTACTGCATTTCATTTACAAATTAAGTTGGAACAATAAGAGTCAAATATGTTTTGCGTTAAAGCAGGATGAGTTCTGGAACCAGCAAAATGTTTATGCAGGCTACTTGTTGAGCTGCAGCAAGAACAGAAAATTTTCATCTTAAAGTGCCAGCCTTAATGGCCAATCCAGATACCAATTACCATGTCTCATAATGAGTCAAATTATGATGAAATTTAATTTTATGCTGTTGATGAATATAAATTATGAATGTTTTTCTTATACACTAATCTAGACCTAAAGCCTGCCAAGTAATAATTCTAACCAAAGGTTCAATAGTGCCAGTCAACCTACCACATCTCCCCTGGCAAGCATGTTAATATTTTCAACCACGGCCAGGTGGAGAAAACGTCCATCTTGTTAACGAAACCAAAAACCCACATAGCTTAATTTTCATTTAGTGATTAAATAACTGATTTGTTTAAATAAGAAAACCCTCTACCCCTTGCATTGATTACTAATACAGTCAATCTATTCCAACTGTCTTTGGCTGCATGTGATTTCATCTTCCGGAAGGCGTTCATTTTAAACTTTTGCTGTCTAGTTCAACAAATTCTTCACGTTTTTATTGAATAGGACAACAAATTCTCCAGATGAATTACCAATTTCCATAGATAGAAACTTAAGGCAACTCTGCTTTGTCATAGATAACCCACCAAAACAAAGAATGTTGCCTGCCTCATTGTTCAACCTTTGGCGAAGCATAACCACCCAGTAAAGGGAAAAATCTCACCTTCTTAACCTCCCAACCTCTCCTGCAATGTTCTAGGAGATATTAAAGATGGTCTCATCCTCCCTAGAATGGCATGGCTTGAAATCTACTCAACATTTCTGGAAACCCCTTCCCCGCTTTGTTATTCCTCCCTCCCTCCCCAAAATTTCTGCAATGCATATTTGTGTCTTTGTTAAAACCTAGCACACCTCCAAAATTTTTAAGTCAGAAAATTCCAATAAACAAATGAACCTAAGGATCCTAGGTTCCAAGAGCAGACATAGCTTCCAAAGGGAACACCCTGCCCCATCCTCACACCCACCTTTTTCCTTCCTCCAAACAACCCCGTGTCTAACAACACTCACACCCGCACTGCAACTGGGAACATCCACCAGTTAATGTGCTATCCACATTAGTTGGTTCTTGTCTATTCCACAACTTACAAAACCTTGTATCATAATAAACTATGGTCAAAATCTTGGTCTGGACCTCATGATAGAAAAACTATATAAAAACATAACTGAAAAAACTAATATGCTCTCAATGACAATGTGCTCTTTAATACTATAACACACACAAAGGAATGGAGGTAATTACCCTACAAGGATGCCTTCACGACGGAGTACACAATGGGAAAATGTTTGACAAGAAAAAGATTATCATCAGATCAGCAGCTTCTCAAGATAGAATGAAAGTCCAATGCATCATGTATTAAAACTAGAAAAAATCCTTTTTCAAAAATTTCATTGGCTTTTTACCTCAATAACACTAAAACAAACAATAAATCTGAAAACCTTTCCAGCCTTTATAGGATTTAACATGCTTCAACATATGATTAGAAAAAACCATAATGCGTCTAGATAGAACAAAGGTTGTATGCCAGAGTGGAAGTCCCCAAATAAATAAGAGAGAGATTTCAATAAGTATTAAAGAACAAATTTCACCTTAATCACTGCTGTAGCAGAGGATGATATTGACCGGAGATTGTAGCTGTTAAATAAATGCATTTTCTTATTAAACATCAGCAGAAGTAAGAACTAATATCAAAGACCAAAATAAAAAACAAACCCGCCCTCAAGAATAACAAGTAGCTTTCCGCCCGAGAGAACATTCAACATTTGTGTCATCCGTGCAAAGCCAGTGGGAGTTACCTGCAAGAAATAATCTCCAAGTTTTAATTAGGTATTTAAAAACAATTAAAGGTAGGTAGACCTAAATACAAATATACCCATTGCCTTTTCTGAAATTTCCTTGACATCAGTGTTTGTTCCCTTACTTTCATGCCTTTACCAACTTTATATATTTACCAATATAATATAACATATCAAATTCATTTTAAATTTCACCTTGATCTTAATCAATTGCATTAACTAACCCAAATTTACTTTTGAATTCAAGTGAAGTTTGATTTAATATTATAATTCACTACTTATCTAAACAATTGTCATTTTATTTTAATAATTAATCTAATAAATCTAATATACCCCTTACCTTTTCTGAAATTTCCTTGGCATCAGTGTTTGTTCCCTTACTTTCATGCCCTTACCAACTTTATATATTTACCAATATAATATAACATTTATCAAATTTATTTTAAATTTCGCCTTGATCTTAATCAATTGCATTAACTAACCCAAATTTACTTTTGAATTCAAGTGAAGTTTGATTTAATATTATAATTCACTACTTATCTAAACAATTGTCATTTTATTTTAATAATTAATCTAATTAATTCCATCACTACAATTACAACTGATGTCATCAACACCAAAGTCATGCCTCGCCACTTTTTCTCTCTCCCTCTCCCTCTCCACCCACATAACTATGTCTACTAGTACTACAACTGACAAACAAGGCAAACCAAACAAATTGATCATCAAAATAGCGACTACCAAACCCCCCCACTCCCCTTCAAAAAAAAAACCTAAACTACTGTTACATCTTCAATTTCTAACCCAAATCATTATAGCATGTAAAATCTAGCCCCTAACTGGTTTGATATTGGTGTCAATTTAATAATATTTAATATTAAATTGATAAAATTAAAGGTCAATTTTAAGAAATTTAATTTTAAAATTAATAGAATTTTATCTTAATTTGATGAATTGAATTTCAAGTTAATTAAATTAGATGTTAAATTGATTAAATCGATTGTTAAATTGCTGTTAATTTCATGAATTAAATTGATGAAATGGAATGTTAATTTGGTATTAACTTGATAAAATTAAATATTACACAGGTGTTAATTTGATAAAATTAAAGGTCACTTTGGTATTAGTTTGATAAAATGCTGGTTTAAATTGATGAAAAAGAAAGTCAATTTGATATTAGTTGGATGATATTAAATGTTAACCTAATAAAATGAATGAGTGAGAAAGAGAGAGAGAGATGTCAAATAAGGAGGCAAAACATAAAGAGAGATGGGTAGATGTGGAGGTGGAAGAGAGGATAAGATTGGTATTTTAAAAATAATGCATTATGACATCATCACTTTTTAGTGTGCCAGTAACGTGTACAAAGGGTATGAATGAATTGAACATATGAACTAGAAGGGACTGCAATAAAATTTCATAAAAGAAAAGGAGTGTCATTGTATTTATATCTATATTTATCTATACTACTAATAAAAGTACCTTAACATGAAAAACTTTTGATTCACTATTTTACCCTTATAAAAAATTGCAAAGACTACTCTATCCTTTCATAATTAAATATCAAAATAACCATCATATTCGTATATATTTAAATACCAAATTACCTCTTAACATCTTTTCGTGATCTATTCTTCATGTATAAATATCAGTTTCTATACAAAAATTGATCGACTATATTACCCTCAAATAATATATGCACCATTAAAATTTTCAATTAAGTATTCAAAAACTCCATCAATCTCATATTACTCATTTCATATGTAAAAATAATATTGTGTAACACACACACATGTATGTACATATATATATATATATATATATATATATATATATATATATTCAATTTTCACAAAAAAGTTTAACCCCTTCATTTTTAGGATAAAAAATAATCACATATAATTTTTTAAAATCTATATAATAAAACACCTGACAATTTGAATTTTTATCCCCTATATATTTTTCCTCAAAAAAAATCACATCACTCATATCTACCACATGTTCAATCATTTAATATTTGATTAATTTATAATTTAACACAATTTTATTATAGGCATTGTCCATACACGATAGTGTACACATGTTGAAAAAATTTTGTTGGATTACATATTTTAAAAAACTTTTGTCAATTTTTTTAAACAAAATAATGGGTAAATTAATTTTAAATGATGTAATCAGATAAAAGAAAGAAAACAAATTACTTTTTAATAAAATAAGATCGATTGTTTGAGCACTCGAATTTTACGTTTCATCTTGCCTTTAGGCGCATGTTATGGCTAGTCAATTTATGTTACATCAACATAATTCTTCAGTTATAGTAAACTTTCCAAGTTGTATTAAACTTTTGTGTGAAATAGATTGAAATTTATTTTTAATATGTTTTATAATATATAATATGAACAAGGAACGAAATGTCGTGTCGAAACATCCGAAACGTCCGAAACGTTTCGGAATTTCAACACACCGACACGAAACAGGGGATGAATACTAAAATTCCAATGTTTAGTTCGAATCGGCAGTGTATCGGACCATTTCGGTCGAATCGGTACCGTTTCCATCGAAACAGTACAGATTCGATGTGGTTCACTCCAGGTAAAAAAAAACAAAAAAACAGAGATGCCCTTTCACATGTCGGTCAGAATTCACAGAGAAAAAACACAGAAATCACATGAGGCACAGAAAGCAGATTCCTTCCACAAGTCAGTCAAATTTAACAGAGAAAAAATCGGGAATCAAACACAGAAATCACATAGTCTAAGTCTTCCAAGGAAAAAAAAAATAGAGAGAAGAGAGACTGTCCAGGTTCAGGCAAAAAAAAAAAACAAACAAAAGAGAGAGGGAAAGGCACCACAGGAGCTCGAAGAGACAGAGAAATTGAAGGAGAAGACTAGAGGAACTAACCTTGAGTCCAGATTTGAGGAGATTCAGCCATTTTCGGGTTTTCCACGCAGATCTAGGGCTCGAATTTTCCACGCAGAGCCTTCGCCATCGCCATCGCCATCGCCGAGGTATCTTCTTCTTCTTCTTCTTCATCTTCATCTTCCTCTCTCTCTCTCTCTCTCTCTCTCTCTCCCATCGCTGCGACCAAAACACTCGGCTGTGGTGTGAGTGTTTTGTCTGAGTCGTTTATGCCGTCTGCCTTATATATATATATATTTTATTTTTTTTTATTTTTTTTTTGTTACGTGTATGAATAATTATATTTAATACCCCTTATAATTATATTTAATACATACGGTAATTACATTCAATACCCAACAGTAATTACATATAATAGTTAATACCCACTGTAATTATATTTACCACCCACTATAATTACATTTAATAGTTAATACCATTGTAATTACAATTGATATCCACTGTAATTACACTTGATATCCACTGTAATTATACTTGATACCCACTACAATTACATTTAATAGTTAATACCCACTGTAATTACATTTAATATCCCACTACAATTACATTTACCACCCAACTGTAATTATATTTAATAGCCCACTGCATACATAAGTACCATTAATTTAATTTGATACCCTTCATTATTTTTTTTTATTTTTGTAATTATTCTTTTATATTATTATATTTTAATTAAAAGTGTTATACATGTCATATTTAATTTGTAAAATTAATTTAATATATTTAATAACGTAATGATATTTATTGTAGATATGACATCAAAAGGAAAGAATATAGCTACTGAATCATCGCAGAAAAAAAAAAAAGAACGTGATATTGGATGGAATTACGGCGAACGAATTGGGGATAATCGACAACATGTAATGTGTAATTTTTGCCATAAAAAAATGATGGGTGGCGGTGTGTCACGGTTAAAGCAACACTTGGCAGGCGGTTATAATAATGTGGAACAATGTGATAAGTGTCCTATTGAAATTGCGAAAGCTATGAGGGATTACTTGAATCGCAACAAGACTGAAAATGCAGAAGTGACTGGTGAACGGAGAAAAATGAGACAGAATTTAATTGGTGGATCGAGGCGGAGGAGTGGTATCGAAATTTATTCTTCCGATGAGAATTCAGATGATGATATGGATATAGAATATAGAGATGATATTGAGTATGCAAAACAACAATCTATTCGTGATATACATATGGCCGAGCAAGGCTTTAGAGGAGGAAGTTCTAGACCATCTATCCAAAAAAGTGGTATATCTAAGGGTTTAATGCGCTCACATAGTGTGAAGGAATCTTGGGATAAATTCTCAAGAAAATCACAAAAGTGGATGGGCAGAGAAAAGGATCTCACGATAGAAGAGATGGATCCTTCGATGTATCGGAATAGGGAAGTAAAGCAAGCCAAGCTAACTCATATGTGGAATCCGAAAAAGTGGGCAAAGTCGGCAAAACATGCTATTGCAAAGTATTTCATTTATGAGAATATTCCACCAAGCAAAGCTCAAGGTCATTTTTACCAATTGATGATTGATGAAATTGCTTTAGCTGGAGTGGGTGTGAAAGGCCCAACCCCATATGAGATTGGCGGACCATTGCTAGATAATGAGATAGATGAGCTGAAAGAGTACATTGACCAGTTCAAAAAGAAGTGGGAGATTTATGGAGTGACAATCATGTGTGATGGATGGACATCCACCACAAGATTATCTATCATTAACTTCTTGATATATTGTGATGGAAAAATTATTTTCCACAAGTCAATTGATAGTTCTGGTCATGACAAGGATGCTAATTATATTTTGGGTTTGATGGATGCTGTTGTTGAAGAGATTGGAGAGAAATATGTGGTTCAGATTATTACAGACAATGGCAGTGCGTACAAAAAAGCTGGTGAAATGTTGATGGAAAGAAGACCACACCTATATTGGACTCCTTGTGCTGCCCACTCTCTAGATTTGATTTTGCATGATTTTTCCAAGATTGAAACGGTTCAAAATGTACTAGAGCAAGCTAAAAGAGTGACAAATTTTATTTATAATCATAATAGAGTCTTGGATATAATGCGAACATTTTGTTCGGGGGAATTGATTCGGCCAGGGCAAACAAGATTTGCCACTAATTATATTGCCTTACAAAGTATGTTGGAGCAGAGAAATGGTTTGCAAAGGATGTTTACTTCAGAAGATTGGTCTAGGACTGCGGCAGCAAAGGATCC